TCCTCACAACTGGACCAATAAGCAACATCGTGATAAATGGAGAAAATACTGAAGTTGTGCACCTAGATTTACCCAAAATATAAATAGAAAAGGATTTCATTTTACTTGGATCCATAATCAATGCCTATGGAAGTAGTCAAGAAATCAAATGACTTACTGCATTGGGCAAATCTACTGTAAAAGACATCTTTAATGTGTTTTACAGCAAAGATGTCACTTTGAAGACTAAGGTGTGCCTGACTCAAGCCATGGTATTTTCAATAGCCTCCTATGCATGTGAGAGCTGGTCAATGCAAATGGAAGACAGCAGCATTGATGCATTTGAATTGTGGTGTTGGTGAAGAATACTGACTGCTAGAAGAATGAACAAACCCATTTTGGAGAAACTATAGCTGGAAGAACTAGCTTAGAAGCAAGAATGGCCAGACTTAGACTCTCATACTTTGGTCATGTGGTCAGAAGGGACCAGTCCCTGGAGAAAGATATCATGCTAGGTAAAGTGTCTGAAAAAGGGAGGAACCCTTATAAAAAGCATATGGGGAGGCAGCATCTTCCTCTGACTCCCTCTGACTTCATGAGGAGGAGACAGAATCACCATCAGTAGCTGAAGCTGATTTCTATAAGGCCAGACATGCTGCCACCCACCAATTTTTTTTTTTTTTTTTTTTTTACCAATTTCTGACACCAGTTTGTGGCACTGGCCACACAGAACTCACAAACAATATTCATGATTATTGGTTTCTTAGAGAAGTAACAGGTTACAATCCAGGTTCATGAACACATTCAGGCTACAATTCTTCAATCAGGACAGTCTCCATTCTGCTGTGTCCTCAGCACGTCCCTCAGGCCCTTGGCCTCTTGGCCTCTTAGCCTGGCCTGTGCCTGGCTCTGGTAGGTGTTACAAACAGAGCTCTTTTAGTTTTGCTGATAGGCCCACCTAGGAGTACCCCACTTGACCAGCAAGCTTCCTGACCAAAGTCACTCAGCTTTCCTGCTCTGTGGGTGGGCAAGCCCACGGCTCTGTCTCCTGTCTCATGGTTCCACTGATGCCATCTCTCTGCCAAGGAAGTCCAACACAGGGATTTCTAGTCCAAGGACAGACTCCACTCCACCTCCAGCTTGTTTCTCTTGATGCAGTGAGACACCACCCCCCAAAAAAAGAAACCCCAAACTCACTGCCAGGGAGCGGACCGGACTTACACTGACCCTTGCTTGGGTTTTCAGGGCAGTAACACTACAGAAGTAGATTGCCCAACCTTCTTTGGGGGTGAGGGGAAGAACTGCCACCCTTCTGGTTAGCAGTCACATGCCTTAGGCACTAGGCCACCAGAGCTCCCCTCCCCATTTTAAGCCCAGCAGAATGACTAATCAATTCCCACAGTGTTCTATACACCTTATTTTCATGGTGTCACCCCACAAAGGTGCCCTGTACCTTATTTACATTACTAACAAGTATCCAATCCTCTTGGTGGGCACAAACACCCTACATGTGCATATTTCTACCCAGTAATCTGGTGGAAGTCACAAAGACCCATGGCTAGAAGAGCCATGGCAATCTACTCCGGAGTGATACCAACTTGGAAATCCAAGGAGGCGTCGCTATGAGTGGGGTCCGACTTGATGGCACATAAAACAACAGAAGAGCCATGCCAAGCAATTCACTGCAACCCTCAAGGAGATGGACTGATACAGTGGCTACAAGCACGGGCTCAAGCATAGCAACACTGAGAGGATGGCTAGGTCCTGGCAGTGTTTATTTCTGTTGTACACAGAGTTGCTATGGGTTGGAATCGACTACATGACAACAACTTAACAACGTCCCAATTATGCCTGCTTTTGCTCTTTCCTATCCTTATGTCTTGATTAAATGTCACTTCTTCAGATGCCTTCTTTGGCTGTCTTAACCAAATGTTCCCTAATAAGGGAGTTATATGCTATTTCTTCATTTGGCTCCTCCAATGCCTTCATCAACATTTATACTTAATTATTCGTGTATTCATTTGTTCAGGTCTGCTGCCTCCCCAGTGGAAGTTAAAACCCTTGTCACCAGAGACAATGGGTTTTGCCTCCCAACGTATAATGTTCTCCAGCACAGCGCTTGACTCGAGGTGCAGAATAAATTTTTTACGAAATGAATTTACCAATGAACAGAGCCGATGAAGAGAAGAGGGAGTGCTGGCAATCGAAAGAATGGGCAGGAAAGCTCCTCCCTTTCCGGCCGCGGTGGAAAAGACTCTGCCGCCACAGAGGCTGGGTGGCGGCGGGCGCCAGCTCGGCCCGCCCCTTTCTCTCCGCCACCTCCCCCGCCCCACCCCGCCCAGCACTGTGCCACCCCTGCGCTGTCAGCTCCTTCATAGTTCGGCCCAGACACTGTGTATGCTTAGCCGCTACTGCCGCCAGTTGCTGCACGTCCCGAACCTTAGCTGCCCGCTGTCGACTCGCCGGCCGCTTCTCTGCCCTCACCACCTTATGAAGCCGCTGGTCGTGTTCGTCCTTGGCGGGCCAGGCGCTGGCAAGGGGACCCAGTGCACCCGCATCGTCGAGGTGAGACACGGGTAGCTGGTGGACTCCTTGTAGCTTGACGGGACGCGGGGCCTGCGGATCCCGCTGCGCCTGCCGTCTGCGCCCCAGGAGCCCCGGAGGAAGCGACTACCAGTCCCGGCGGTCATCGCGCCGCCTGCGTGGCTGCGGTTGGGGTCTGCAGGAGCGCAGCATGTTGGGACTTGTAGTGCGTGTCGGCACGCGTCGGGAGCGCCTAGTCTGGAGCAGGACCGCTTGGGGTCGCTTTGTTCCTGCGCACCCTCATATATTACACTTGGAGGTCAAATTGGTGTCATGGGTGGGCTGGGACAGGGGTTTCCCGGAGGACTAGGCTTCAGGAACTCCCAGCGCCGAGGTCAGCGTGGTTGTGTGGTGGATGAATGGAGTGGGACCTCAGATTTAGGTTAGAGCGGTTTGTACCTTCAGCTGCCTGAAAGGGAGACCGGTTGGTCCTCTCCGCCTCTTTTCTCAGGCCATCTAAATTCCGAAATCTCAACTAACTTGTCTTTACTCTAGAAAGGAGCCACGTGGGGGCGGTGTGTTATTTTAGGTATGCTGTGATCTCCAGACAACTTCTGACCCAGTCAGTGGTAGGCTTTCGGGGAGGGCCAACTCTGAGGTTCAGCAGGGTTTCGTGTTTTGGACCAGCCGTGGAGTCGTGGACTGAAATCACTCTTTAACCTCTGGTCCCGCTGCCAACTCACGCTTTGTCCTTGATCAAGTCACTTCCTCTCTCCGAGTCTCAGTTGCTTGTTCTGTAAAATAAGAAGCAGTGCACTCAGATTTACCCAAAATATAAAAAAACAAAAGCTAAACCCACTGCCATTTGGTCGGTTCCGACTCATAGCGACCCTATTGGACAGAGTAGAAGTATCCTGTAAGATTTCTAATGCTGCCTCATCTTTCTCCAGCGGGTGGGTTCGCCATCCTTTTGGTTAGCAGCCAAATGCTTTAACCACTATGCCACCAGATCTTCTCCAAAATAAAGAGTACGTCCCAATTCTAAAATAGCGTTACTTTTCTTTTGCTTCAAGGCAAAACAAAATTACCAGTTCAATTGTATTAGCAATTTTGCATCCAGAGGGGCAGATAGGTAGGGGTTAGTTAGCTTCAGTGATACTTTGAGGGAGAAGGCTTATTGGAGAATTTGGGGAATGTTTGGGAGAGATGGAAAAACCGAAGGGGCGAGCAGTGCTTGTGGAAAACACTCAAAGAATCATGGTGAAACTCAATGATCAGCAAAAGTTTTTGACTCAGAATGTCTAAAATAATTCCCACCCCTTTCTCGCTTCCAGGGTATGGCCTATATTAGCTGTAGCCTTTTTACTCTCTCTGTGTTCATACAGTCAACCCTTGTCCTATATTTTATTCTCTAAAGAGCATCCAGAAAAAGTAGGTGATAAATCTTATTCATTGTTCTACAGCTATATTTATAATTATTAGTAATTTTTTAAGAGTAAAAGTGTTCCCCCCAATGAGGAAAATATATGTATTTTCTATTATTTATTTTAATTTTTGTTGAGTCTTCTCATTTTTCTAAAACACAAATGACAAATAGATTATTTCCAATTTTTGTTTTATATATTAAATGATTCTTACATGTAAATAGCAGGTACATGTAAATGAGCAGGTAAGGAGCAAAGACTTTAGAGTCAAACAGATAGGGGTTCAAACCCCAACTCTGATATACCGTTTCTCTAGACCTAGAGAAATTGTTACTTTTAGTTACGTTTCTCTGTAAAAAGGGACAAATAATATCCATCTCGTGTGATACTTGTGAATATTAAATGAGGTGTATGTTAACTATCTGGCAGACAGATGCAAATATTTTTTTCTTCACTTTAGACTTCCTGATCCTATTAGATTGATTATTTTTACTTTGCAGTATTATTTTTTAAAAATATATATATATGTATCTATATGGTTTATGACTATTACATTTTGAATATATTTAGTTTCTGACTCATAATGTGGCTTTAAATGCCCACACCCAAACTAATAATACCCATTATTACTCCACTGGATTAACAATTATGTACATATTTTGTGACTAGTATTTATTCTTTACTGTTTCTATCATGGCTACGATATTTTAAACTTGTTGATTGTCAATTATAAGATTTCCATAATGAGATAATATGTTCTATAATATATTATTCTTTAGCATTTCAGCAATTATATGAGCTATATAATTTTAAACTATTGTTTTCATGACATTTTTTTTCTTTTGATCCCAATTGTCATAAATGTCACTAAGCTGATATAAACTGATTCCAAATAGTTTTTGATTTAAGAATTGATAGCCTCTAGCTGACCAAATGGGAGCTCTGGTAGCATAGTGCCTAAGGCACTTGATTGCTAATCAGAAGGCTGGCGGTTCAAACCCACCAGCGGCTCCTCGGAAGGAAGATGGGGTGATTTACTTCTGTAGTGATACTCCCTCGGAAACCCAAGGAGGAGTCGCTATGAGTCGGTCCGACTCAGCGGTATATAACAACAACAACAGCAACTGCTGACTAAATAAGGAGCTCTGGTGGTGTAGTGCCTAAGGCATTTGACTGCTAGACAGAAGGTTGGTGCTTCAAATCCACCAGCCACTCCCAGAAGGAAGATTGGACAATCTCCTTCTGTAAAGATTTACTCCCATCGAAAACCAAAACCAAAACAAACTCACTGCCTTCGAGTCGAATCCGACCCATAGTGACCCCTCCTTGGGTTTCCGAGGCGGTATCATTACGGAAGTAGATTGCCCAACCTTCTTTCTGAGGAGTAGCAGGTGGGTTTGAACCTCCAGCCTTCTGGTTAGCAGTCAAATACCTTAGGCAGTACGCCACCAGCGCTCCCAAAGGGGGTCGCTGTGACTCAGAATCACCTCGATGGAAGTGAGTTGTTTTTTTTTTGTCCTTTAGCTGACTAAATAAGGAGCTCTGGTTACGTACTGGATAAGGCATTTGGCTGCTAACCAGAAGGTCCGCGGTTCAAACCCACCAGCCGCTCCACGGAAAGACTATGGGGCGATCTACTTCTGTAAAGATTTACAGCCTCGGAATTCCAGTGGTGGTCGCTGTGAGTCGGAAACGACTTGATGGTAGTGAGTTTTTGAGTTGAGTAAGCTGACTAAATAAATTAGAACACCGAAATGTCTTTGGTTGGTTGTCAGATTTTTTTTCTACGTGAGTCCGCAGTGTTTTAGCACAATATTTTATTATACAGACAAACACAAACTAAATCCTGAAAGATTTTTGTAATCAAAATATTTTTTTCTGTAGGTAAAAACTTACATAAATCAAGATTAAATTCACCAGCTACCATGTCATTGGTAATTTAGCTCACCCAGTACCTAAAATATGGTGGAAAATAATTGTTTCTTTGGGAATGCTACATTGATTCCCAACGCAGGCTGCCAAGAGTACATCTTTGGGCTCTGGCTATAGAACTGGAAGAAATCTTGCCCTCTAAGATACTTGGTGAAGTGGAGGGTCAGCGAGAGGGGAAGGTCCTCAAGGAGATGAATTGACATAGTGGCTATGACATTGGGCTCAGGTATAGTGAGGATGGTGAGGCTAGCACAGGACTGGGCAGTGTTTCATTCTGTTGTATGTGGGTTGGCTGTAAGTCAGAGCTGACTCCACAGCAAGTAACAACAACAACAAAGTACTTTTTGGCTGCTAACCAGAAGGTCAGTAGTTCAAACCCGCCTGCTGCTCCGCACAAGGAAGATGAGGCAATCTACTTCTGTAAAGATTTACAGCCTTGGAAACCCAGTGGGGGTCGCTGTGAGTTGGAATGGGCTCAGTGGCAGGCCTTAAAAGGGTAAGGTCCTTTTAAGGAGCTCTGTTGGTATAGTGGTTAAAGCATTATGGCTGCTAACCAAAAGGTCAAAGGTTTGAACCCACCAGCTGCTCTGTGGGAGAAAGCTGTGGCAGTCAGCTTCCATAAAGATTTACAGGCTTGGAAACTGTCCTGTTATTTTAAGGCCCTGAGATATGTAGGTTGGGGGAGAGGTATGGTTAGAGGGAACTAGTACTTGTTTTCTCCCTGAAGGCAAATTATTTTTCTGCTGATTGCTCTGCCAGACCCTGCACAGGAAAAGGCAAAACAAATATCTTATGAAAGTGTTGTAAATTGGGAAAAAAATTTGAGAGAGGTTTTAGGGTTGACTGGGTTCAAACCACTAGTCACTCTGTGGAAGAAAGATGGGACAGTCTGCTTCCATAAAGATTTACAGCGTTGGAAACTCAATAGGGGTCGGTCACTATGAGTCGCAAACAACTCGATGGCAGTAAGTTTAGTCTGGTTTTTGGTTTGCCCATTTATTTGTACTGCTCTTTTTCAATTTGTTGTTTTGTTATTTTCTAGCTAATTGTTTTCTAATTTGTGTCCTCTAGTACTAAATTTGTTTTTTAAAATTAGCTGTATTCTAAATCCCTGTAATCCTTTTATTAGAGTTAAGTGCTTAGAGTGGAGTTAATAACTTGTGGAACAACTTGCTAACAAAAAATCATAATGGAGATACTGTGTCATTCAATTTTTTATTAAGCTTTATTTATATTTGTCGTTTTGGCTCAAGGGAAATTATAGCACAGTAACCTAGATTCATCTTTGAAAATAACCACAATTGTGCAAGGAATATGTACACCTCTTCTCTTTCATTTATTTATTTTTTAGATGCCAAGAAACTTCTTCTCTTTTAAAGATTGTGAGTTCTGTTTACATAAACAAATGATGACTAAAGCTTATATGTGTGCCAAACTGCTTTTTGTAGCACCCAGAAAGTATTCTTATCATCATCTGTGTCCTAACTTCCTCCGCAGCTCATGTGGTACTTTATATAGTACTCATACTTTACATAAGAAGTGTCAGGGGCCCAACAGTTAAGTGCTGGACTGCTCTGTGGAAGAAAGACCTGGAGATCTGCATCAGTAAAGATTACAGAGAGAAAATCCTGTTGGGCAGTCTTCTACCTGGGGTCACTATGAGACAGAATTACTCAGTGACACCCA